ACACTGCATCGTGATTGTGAGTTTCACGCCACCAGTAATATTCAAACAAAGACTTTTGTCTGAAGAGAGCATTAAGGCGTGAAACTGACAATCACCATTCAGTGTTGATTCCATGTCCACACTGTCTTCATCTACAAACGTTCTCCGATACAAACCACGCTTTTTATTTTAAACAATATATATATATATATATATATATATATATATATATATATATATATATATATATATATTGAAAGAGAAGAAACAGTGGTTAATGATTATTTTTTATAGTTGTAGAATTTTATGGACAGGTAGAGGAAGTTTTTCTTTGTATGTTAAGGCATTTGTATGTTTGTGTAAAATGATTTAATATCTGAGCTCGCCATGAGCATGTTTCCATGTTTATGTTCCGTATCCTCTGGAATAAGTCATCACAGTATTTAATATGTGTTGGGTTGGCGCCTAAGAAAGAATTCTTGCAATAGCTTTAGCTAATTTGTGTGTGTGTGTGTGGGGGGGGCACTGTTGATGGCGAACACAGTTGGTCTAATAGGTATGTTGGCTTTGTATATTTTGAGTAAAACGTACAGTGGGGATGCAGTAGTGTGATATTCTATGCGTCTAGTCCAGGATTTGTTTTTCTGTTTATTTTTATATAAATATAAGTGCAAAATTTAAGCCTCCATCTACATCGCATATATATATATATATATATATATATATATATATATATATATATATATATATTCTGAGTGTGACAGTTTGTGATATGTAACTGGTGCCACCAGTGATTATGTGGGTAAATAAAAGTGGATTTATATATAGCTTGTAGGTATGCACGTGCTTCTGTATTTTCCCATATAAAAAAGTGTTGATTAATTGATTGATTCATTTTTGACAGCTTATCAACCCTTTGTAGATTATATGAAACAAGACAATATTTTTTTTATTGTAAGCATTTTCTTATGGTGGAGAGTGATAATAATAATTTAATCATACAAGTTTTAATAATTAACCCATAGCTAGAGACAGAAGAGAAAATCATACATCACCCAAGTGTATTTGAGCTTAAGTAAATATAACAAACCCAACCGAAATTGCAACTCGGCTCTCCGATTTCCAATTTCGAACCATTATCCGTTACACCACCCGCACATCCAAGTTTACAGCATCAGGTAATTCAAAGATAACTTGTTACAATTGCTTTTCGTGCATGCATTTTGTGCATGTAATAAAATCCCAGAAAATTCTCCACCTGAAGAACGATATAGTAGTAAATATCACATAAAATCATTGAATTAAACAGAGGTCCCATCCACTAAGCGTGTAAAAAAATAGGGCTTAATTTCTTGGCAATATTTCTGAGAAGGCAAATTATTTCTTCCAGCTCAAATCCATCAAAATCATTTTCTCTCACAAGTGAATTTAACACGATAAACTACTATAAAGATGTACAGACAGAAGCAATTGATATTCCTTTATGTTCCATGTCCTTGCACGATGTAGGCGATCATGGCTTCTCACATTTCCCTTTCCTTCATAGCTCTAAGAAATGTTTGTCACAATATTCTCAATCGCAATCCCTGTTCATTCATCCATTTACTCAGCAATTGATTAGAGAACTGTTAATCTATTTAACTGGGATCATTTTAAATAGCCCTGCTTTAAGAGGTTTAGATCAGTTTTGAAATTTTTAACATGTGATACTGGCCTTTCTCAAGAAAATATTGTATAAAAGCGGACCTTTTAAAACTATCAAAAACACAATTTACAAGTTTAACTAGCTTCTTCTTCTTCTTCTTCTTCTTATTATTATTATTATTATTATTCTATATTCCGTGTCCCTTCAGGGCGTTGTCGGTTATGGCTCTCCTCAATGTTCTGTTCTATGTATCGCTTAATAAATGTTGTCCTTTTGTTATCTCTCCTAAACCTTGTTCCGCAATCCGTTTAATCAATCTCGTTGGGTTATGCGTTGTTTACTTCTGTCCCTCTTACCTTCAATCTGTCCTGTGGGCATACACTTTTCTAAGCCCCCTTTTATTCGTGTTGTTTCCTAGATATTTCTACTGTCTCTTTATGATTCTAAATATAAGATTTCGAAATAGCTTTTAATTTAATTAGATCCATACTTGAAGTGAAGCTGTGCGGCGCCTGTAGCGAAATGAAATTAGTTATGAATTTAGCTCACACACACCACGGCATCATTCAATTAGAACGTTAAAATTGTCAAATTTCAAGATTTTGATGTATGAAATTTGAAGTTTGAAAATTTTAAGTATTTTTCAAATATTTTAGATGTCGATTAGTTAAAACTTTATCGTTCCAACCAAGAGAGACGGGTTCGAATCTCACCATGGTCGAGCTGTCAAAGAGATTACTTCTTGACAACGTCGGCCTGCGTGTAGCACCATTGGGAAGTTACTGAACATCATACAATGGGTTGACCCAAGTTTTGTAAGTGCAAACTGAGAGGATGAAACTGTTCTAATGCTGACAATAGTTGTGCTAATACAAACTCACAAGTACCGTGACCCTGCTGGCTTTGTTTAACTTCTGACCCCCCCGATTATGCGCTCTCGCCAAGAAATTAAAGTCCGCAGTATAAACTACAAGTTGGCTTTGTGTTTGTTGAAGAAACAAAAATGTGCCTGAGAAGGCACCTACCTCAGTTTAGCTAGTCACACTAGATATCGAGTATATAAGAATATCGTACAGCTATTATGCAGGTTCTCCAATTTGCCATCAAAGCAACTATCTTGGGGTGGATCATTTCAACAGACTTAGTCATTGAATTCAAATGGCTTCAATTTCCATTTGCCATTACAATCATAAAAGTAGTTTTTCAGCACAAATATAGTTTCTCAGCACAACTGGCTTCAACCTGATTTCTCCATGCTTTTACCATAGCAAGTTCTATATTGGTCGTCATATAGTTGGATCCCAGAGCAACTTTATAATACTGATCAGTTGATAATACTTTATGATACTGATCATATAAAGTACTGTTAATACTTTATAATACTGGACAGTTTATAATAATTTATAATACTGGAACCCAACTACCTAAAAATGTTTGGTTTTAGGTATCAGAAAATTTTCTCATGAACCAGAAACTTTTTCGTGTTTAAATAATCACTTTTTTCATTTTTATGAAAAAGAAATATGTTAAAGATAATATTTCTCTCATATTATGTTTGAAGTTACTATTCTGACTGTACACACCACTTCAAATAAAAGGTTAGGAAGGAAACGCTCTTCTCTTCTAGAAAGAGCGGTAACAGATTATGGATTGGATAAACCTATTTTCCTCAAAAATTGTTTTTGTTAACAGCAAGTTTTTTTTTCTTATAAATTTCAACCTAAAGCAGTACTGGCTGCTCGGTCAATGAATGCCAAATGTTTTTCTAATAGGGAAACCGCTATTATTATCATTATCATTTACTTACCAGGTAACGCCGGATATCTCTGCTAGTCATTTTTATATTAGAGTGAGTGTGATATAGAAAGATATAATAGGAAAAGGAAGTAGGGAATCAGATGAACTAACGTTACTTTGACATGATTCAGAACATTGCAAAAACCATGCTAATTCTGTCGAAAAAGGAAATCGAAGAGAGCCATTTACGTGACTTATTCATTTATTTACTTATACTCCGATTTCCTTTGTATTTTTATTTTTAATACCTTACCTCATCAATACATATTTCTCCATTTCATTTGTGAACTTATTTGGAAAGATAGTGGAGTAGTTTCCTTTTGCCTTCTTCACAAATTGGAATTAAGTATTTTCCTTCTCTAAGAAAATTAGTGCGAAAGTGAACGCAGCAGACTAACCCGTGATTTGAACTCGGCTCTTATTTTACTTACTGCGCCGTTATTGGTTACACTAGTCATACATACACACTATATTGTATGTCTTTCTGAATGTATTTGACGTGCTTATTCTATGTCACATGTCCCTTCAGGACGTTGGCGATCTTGATTCTCCAAAATTTCCTATCCTTAATGGCTCTTAATATTTTTTGCCTTTTTGCCATCTCTCCCGAACACTGTTTGGCCATCCATTCGCTCAAACCCGACAGGTAGGTTATGCATTGCTTTCCTCTGTCTCTCTTACATTCAATCTGCCCTGTGAGTATCAAATTTTCCAAACCCTCTTTCCTCATCATTTGCCTTAGAAATTTCAGTGATCTCTTCCTGAGGGTAAGTATAATTGCCCTTTTTGTAACCATTGTCTTCCTCGTTGCTCACATGTTCGGTCCATGGTATTCTCATTACCTTTCTATATAAACCACCTTACTTTTGCTTCAAGTATCTTTTTTTTTTTTAATTAATTTTTAACGGGTTATTCTTCCATCTTTATTGAGTTGACTTTTATCCTAACGCACACAGACTGTTACATTCTTCGACCGTTTAAGTAGTGGAAATAGAGAAGACAAAACTTGAAAACGCATTCCATAGCCTGGGAATCCATTTGATGTGGATGTCGCCTTTACCAATTTGGCTGTGAAGTATTAACAAGACAGGTTCATATCTGTTGTCCTAACGCTGCATCTTCCTTATGAGATTTATCTATACATATAGATTGTCTACTATCTTGTAGTAGTAGTACTAGATGTAATAGTATTTAGGTTTGGGGGATTTCTGATACTTTACACATCTACTAGTATTAATAAATATTAGTAAATACATCAAAGCAGTACGCAAGTTGCGTTTTATAGGGATTCTCCAAGCGCAGCTTACATGTGGCACAAGACCGAAAGTATGGGGCACCCAGTAAGAATCGAACTCATAACTCAGTCGTAATTGTTCTAGCGAGACAAGCTTGCTAACCATTACACCGCCTCGTGATGCCCCGCCTTTGGGTTAAGATAGGTGCTAAGTAAAACCTGTATCTTTTTATATGCAAACACGCATCGATAGATGATAAATCTTATATATGCACGCACATACTGTTACTAATATCTATGGATGCCAAGACATGTATCGACTCGTAAGGGGTCTCCAACTGTGTAATGGCTGTCGAGCTGAATCAGGTTATTCATTATGCATTTTTGAACCACAGGAAAGGATTAGGTTTGACCTCAAAGGATGTAACTTTTCTCTCTAATGAGTAAATATATATTGTGAGCAGGATGAAAACTGTACACGTATCTATCTATCTATCTATCTCCTTTGATTCTCAGTCAATTCATTTCTATCTATCTATCTATCTATCTATCTATCTCATTCTTTTCCCTATCTATCTATCTATCTATCTATCTATCTATCTATCTATCTATCTCCTTTGATTCTCAGTCAATTCATTTCTATCTATCTATATCTATCTATCTATCTATCTATCTATCTATCTATCTATCTCCGCAACTATACATACAGATACACCGTGGATTTCTTTAATAACCTGCTTCGTAAGACAGTCCTATGAATTTTATGGTACAGTTTTTTTTTAAAAAAAAGGCTATTTTACCTGTCCCGTCTGCGCAGAGGTTGTATGAGCTGAGAATGCAGGAATTGAACATGGATTTTGTGGTCTGTAACTGTTGTCTTCAGTGTGTGCATCTGAAGTGTATTGGCAAGAGAACCATGGCCGAGGGCAAGTTTGGGATTTGCAGAGACTGTTATACCTGAAGTGCTTAGAATATTTAGAGACTCTTATATTTCTTTCAGTAATTGATTATAAATAAATGATTTTAACTTGTTTTAACAATTGATGGCAGAAAATATTTTAAATTGTCTTTACAATTGATGGTGAAAATAAATAAACTTCTGCATTAAATATGAGTGTTGTTATTTTTACCATAACCTGCTGTCATAATAAAAAATATTTACCCGCGAAATAGCTCGGTAAAATAAAATTAAAAGCATGTTTGTTTATTTAAATGGAGACCGTCAAAATACCATCTTCCTTTTAGCTTTTTTATTTACCTTCTACTTTTCCTCCTTTTTTTCAGTAAGGTTCACCCTGTACAATGTCCGGGGACCACTTGAGGTCGAAGGTTATGTTAAGGAGTAGTTTATATGGATAAGGGGGGAAGATAACGGTTAACCCTAGACTTGATTGTAGAGATCGGGAAAATATCCTCTTGTAAATCAGTTCCACAGAACAGTGGTTTGCGGGAAGAAGCTGGAATACGTAGGGAATGTGGATCGTTTGCTACACTGTAAGTGGCATGGCGGGTTCTAGCCGTGAAGCTTAAAACTCGTGGAATGAAGGAATGTAGTTCGTCTGAGCATATGCCATAGAAGTAACGATAGAGCAGTGAGAGGTTTGTCACATTCCGCCCGTGAGAGAGAGTAATTGGAGGGTGGAAAATAATTTGTCACCCACAAGGACTCGGAGACGCTTTTGATCTCTATCTAGACTGGAAAGTGGGGACTGGGCAGTTTCCTCTCAAATATAACACCAGTACTCCCTTTTCTGCCTGATCTGGCTCTTGTCAAGGTAGAGTATGTCATGAGGAGCGGTACAGGGGACCGACCATTTTATTTGTAGTTTTAGGGATGGATCTTATGTATGAGTTCCAGTTGAGGTCGTGTGTGAAGTTAAGGACCAAATGTCTCTCAAGGTACGGTGCCTGCTCGAGAGGGCATCCCTTCATCATGACTGGTGGTAGTTCGGGGTCCGATCAACGATCATGGAATGTAATATATATATATATATATATATATATATATATATATATATATATATATATATTCAGATATATATCACAGACACATATTATAAGTGTATATTAGTTGATATATATATATATATATATATATATATATATATATATATATATATCGGTCGGGTTTCGGTCTTGACTTGAAGCGATCGGATGTCTAGCCACACTGATGAGCTATGATACAGCAAAACAACTCTGGATGATGGTATATATATATATATATATATATATATATATATATATATATATATATAAAAATAAAAATAAAAAGGCTCAAACACTTATATTCCATGGTTATAATTTAATACATTGGAATCGTAATCACGATCCAATTCATCAGCTTTTTGAATTTGTAGGTCTGATGAATTGAATCGTGATTACAATTCCAGTGTAATAAATTATAACCATAGAATATTAGTATTTGAGCCTTTTATATTATATTCCTGCTCTGTCTTGGACATTGTGCTCTACCTGGATTCTATCCTCTTGGAAATTTACCATATATATATATGAATGGATAGGTTCTTATTTAAGAATAGGTTCTTATTTTATGTGCCAAATCCCTACTAGAAGTGGGCGATTGTGACTCTCTACAACTATCTATCCTTCGCAGCTCTTAGTATTGTTTGTCTCCTTACTTGTGTTTGCGATACTTTCATATATATATATATATATATATATATATATATATATATATATATATATATATACATATATATATATATAGTAACCTATTACTAATAGTAACTGTAATCTATTAAATATTTCACGAGTTATTATTTTCTGTTGGTAATAGCGATTTCTTTGGGAGGCGTAGATTAATTTTCTTACGGTGGAAGAACTTTCTTAACACTAATTGCTATTTAATAACTAATGTCAAACAATATTGCTTTAGGACAATCTTTCCCACGTGTGACTATTTGAAAATAACACCTACGCTATGTTAAAAGATAATATATATCAGAAATAAATTCATCTTGGGAGACTGATTTTTCTTGGGCTTCTGGTTGTTAATATATTTTTATTTCTTAATAAAGATACATAAATAAATTAAAAATAAAAAATGAATGCGAAAAGTAAAAAAAAAATACAACGATTTATATTGCTTGCCGAATTCGAAGAGATTGTTAGCATGTTCATGTAATCAATAATCTTTTCTGATACAAAATAATATATGTTATCGATCATCGATTTACATAATGGTTCGGCAGACAATATTGCATATTGATAAAATCTATGCGGACATCTATGACGATATTCTAACCATTATTAACATTTTTAACGATTAATAAACAGAAAAAAAATCATTACAAACACAGATACCTACATACATGGTGGCGTTGGAAAGTTCAAGAAGAAATTTCAAACTACATTCATATGTTTGTTCAGACTTTCAGGAGTCGGTCAGGCCGAGAACATATCAGCATAACTCGCACATGTATATTGGTGTGTGTGTGTGTGGGGGGGGAATATATATATATGAATATGGATATATGATTATACCTAGCATAAAAAAGTACCGACCAGGGCCAGTATAATATTTTTCCCCTTGAATATATGATAGGGATCACCCCCCCCCCAATTTATGATACGGCCCTCCACTATATTACATCTGCATTTTCATAAGGTAGTATTCATATAAAATACAAGTTTTATTGTAACCTGATTACCGAATATTTCCGCGTTTAAGGCGACGTTTAGATAAGACGAGGTCAAAAAATAGAGCAAATTTTCATAAATTTATCCTATACCCTCATTATAAGACAACTGCTTATTGGTTATATAAAGATGATGTTATTAGAAATGTTGTCACTTACTATATTTTTAGAAATTCGAAAAAACAAAACCTATCATGTTTTTCATACACATGTTCCCTAAAAGGGAAGCCATTGTTTTGTTTACGTTTCATCACGTGATCTCTTGCGAATATGGATTCTTTTTCTTTTTCCCCCTTCTTTTCCTATATCTAAACAGTTACAAACAGCTTGATGCACTAATAACCATTTACTTATACTTCACTGACAATCACAAAATATCGCAAATAACAGTGCGATAATAGTACACTCCATTGCTGTGAACGCAATCATAACTCGATGTTTGCATTTTCTCAGCTGAGCTTGCATGTATACAAGTTGATTTCATTGATACGGAATTAGTTTTCGAATAGGCAATTTATTATGGAGTTATGCCAGTAATATATAAGGTAGAAATGGTTTTATTACTTTTTCATCAGTGTATTTGATAATGTGAATCTTTTCATGTACGGTATTGGTTTTCCCACCGGGAACGAGGTTAGCCTACCGAGAAACATCACTCAGAATTTAAGATTCCTTTTTTTAGAATTGTAGTATAAGACGACCCCGCCCCAATTTTAATGTTGGTTTTGGGAATTTAAAGGTCGTCTTATACGCGGAAATATACGGTATGTACAATAATGGATAATATGCAATATCGGTGAACAATTAAAAAAAAAACAAATAACAATACAATGTATCTAAATAAAAATTAGAGAAATGTCATAATAGATAATTCCATCTTAAATAATGTTTTGAAGCAGTTGTTAGCATCAAATTGAGCTTTTCTAGTTCAACATTGTGGATAGAATTTTTTTCGAGACTATGTCTTTTCGAGACAAATTTAGAAAACAAATTCAAAGATTTGGACGGAAAAGAAAGTACACCAGAAAGACATTAAAATCCGTGAGAATTTCGAATCGTTTAATAATCAGTTGTTCCGAGTTTAATTTGTAACGTATATGAATGTAGTTAGAAAAAACGCAAATGTTGAGAAGATAGCTAGGGTCACAAACCAAGCTATCCCCACAATCAAGCTACCTCCCTCCCGGACGCACTAGCTCTGATACCAACGCCTATATGTAACTTATTTGTAAACGATACTCACTTCTAACTGCAAAAAAAAGAAGAAAAAGAGTCTAAAATGCATAATCATAAAAACGCCCCCTTAACAATACCGATTATAAACATGGCCACAATATGCTGGCCGTATTAGGGAATTAAAGATATGCCACCCAGCTTTCAGCAGCTTATATAACATTTACACTTACGTACCATCAAAATAGCACAAATGGAATCTTTGAAAATGGTTAATAGATTAGCCGAAAGCATTTGAAAAAACAAAAAGCAAAAACAAAACAAAAACAGTCATTTGGTCGGATTAAGTTAAGAAATGAAAATAAAACTTTACAAAGCCTGGGGGCCACTCGAGGTAGAGAGTTACGTTTGGGGGCCATTTGTGTGCATAGGAGTAGGAGACAACAGTTAACCCTAGCCTTCAACAGGTTAAGATTGTAGTGATCGGAGAAACAACATGTTGGGAGTCGGATCCACAGGGTGGTGGTTCATGGGAAGCAGCTGTTCGAGTGGAACTTATTTCTCACCGATGGAATATGGAGGGAATATAGATGATTCGCTACTATGTAAGTGGCATGACGTGTTCTTGCAGTGAAGGCTTGCCTTGGCCGGGGCCAGGGAATTTAGTTCGTCCGAAGTGGAAGTAGCGGTAGAGCAGCGAAAGGCTTGCCACATCCCGGCTGTGGGATAGAGGTTGAAGGTTGGAGAATAGTTCGTCATCCAAAAGGGCCAGGAAACACTGTTGAACACTATCAAGACTGCTCTCGGCAAAATATGACAACAGTACTCCATATTTTAGCCTCATCTGGCTCTTGTAAAGATAGAGGATAGCGAGAGGGGTCAAGTACTTACATCGGTACAGGGAGCCAACCATTTTACTTGCATCATTAGCAATGGATCGTATGTACGTGTTACCCTTGAGGTCGAGTGTGAGTCTTTTGAGGCACGGTGCTTCCCCGAGAGGACCTCCGTTCATTAAGATTGATAGTAGCTCGGGATCAGAACGGTGATGGAGGAATGTAATGAATTGATTTTCGAGGCATTGAATGTAACCAGCCAGTTTTTAACCCACTGGGTAGTTTGAGTAAGATCGGATGAGAGATCAGTCGCCAATCTCTGACCATCAAGATTTTTAGTGGTGCGCCCTAAGAAAAACATATCATTATAGATGTTTACAAATGATCTGAGAATATTCTTAGGCAGATGATTTATGTAGATCAAAAAGAGGTTCGAGGAGTGACCAATGTGGTGGTGGTGGGGGCGCCTGGGTTGTCTTCTATAGTTCCGGAGGTCTGGCTATGATAACTAGCTTCAAAATCAAACCGACGGAGTGCACCGATCCAAGCCATGAGGGTAACTGATGGTACTTTACAGAAAATACTAAAACATTAACAAGATGAAGACACCATTTTTCACTTGCCTAAGTTCACTAACACAACACAGATGACAATTTAAAATAAGGAAGATATTTCTGCCGCAATCTATATAAATATATACGAGAATAATTTAAAAAAATATTTGCATTTCTCCATAACATATCTTTAGGTTTGTCACACTGCCTTCTGCTTATGTTGGTACTATTGTAGTCTTGTGATCGAAGTTTGCGCTTGATAGCTCCAGTTTTCTTGCTGCTGTTACAGTGTAAACATGGCCTCTCTGCTAGCAGTGTGCAACAAGGAGGAACAAAGGGCAGTGATTCGATTCCTCTGGTCAGAACACAATTCGGCAACAAGCCACTACCGGGTAGAAGTGCGTATGAGTGGGTCGAGAAGTTTAAAAGTGCCACACGAAGAAGGAACAAGGCAGCCATCAACCTCCACCAGTGTCGAGAGGATTCAGCATGCCCGAGAGATGGTAATGACAAATGCTGGTTATCGACGACAAGGTAGCATGTTCTCTGCAGATTGGGAGCACTTCTCATTGTTCCTCCTTGGTGCACACTATTAGCGAAACGACCATGTTTACACTGGAACAGAAGCAAGAAAACTGGCGTGATCAAGCTCAAACTTTGTTCACATGTCCTTAATAGTAATAACTGAAAATACGCCTGGGCAGAAGGCAGGCTGACAAACCTAAATATATGTTATGCCGAAAGAGCTGATTAGTTTTGCCTTTTTTTTATTATTTACAGTGAGGTTCACCCTGTACAAAGCCATGGGGCCGTTCGTGATAGAGCATTACAGAGTAAGGGCACAGTTTATACCGAAAGGCGGGAGAGATAACCGTTAACCCTAGAATTGAACTGCTTACGATTGTAGTGATTTGGAAAATATTTTCTTGTTAATCGGTTCCAGAGATCATTGGTTCGCGGGAAGAAGGTGCTTGAATGGATCTGATTTTCTCATCAATGGAATATGGAGAGAATACGGTTGGTTCGCGACAAGTGGCATGGCGGATCCTAGCTGTGAAAGTTAGACCTGGTGAAGGTTAGAACTCAAGTTCGTTTGAGCACTTTCCATGGAAGCAGTGAGATGAGCTTGCTATATCTCGTCTATGAGAGAGAAGTTGAATGGTGGAAAATAATTTTACCCTCGTATGTAGATATATGCCTATAATTATCATTACAAATGCACATTTTTCTATATATATATATATATATATATATGTAATTCGACCTTGCTAACAGAACGCTCCCCTGTCGCCAAATCGGTAAAGGCACGTCAAGCTAAATGACGGTTCCGTATAGGATACAGGTTCGAATCCTGTCGGGGGACGAATATTTTCTGTGAAAATTTCTCGGACATTCAGGCCGGTAGATGTTGTTTAAGACTATTTATTATAAACAGACCCTTTGCTTAAATATTTATATCTATAAAAAGAATGTATAAACATAAAAAATGTCTTTATATATATATATATATATATATATATATATATATATATATATATATATATCTCAACTTTGGAATATAAAAAATTAAAGTGGTTTTTACACTTTTTTTAAAACATTTTTTACCTATATATTATAATTTAAGCAACTTAATGCATTACAACCCGACATTATTTTTCTTACTATAAAGGTTATTTTAGTGGATACACGTGTTTGTATAGACATCTTCTTTTATATTAATAAATATATAAATGCGCGCGTGCGTGTGTGTATACTTGTGCTTGTGTGTGTACCTGTTTCTTTATGTGCCTATGGATGTGTAAAAAGATAATTCTGGTTATATATTTGCACACTGGTTGTTCCCACGCAACAACGGCATACGGATTCATACACATTATCAGTATTTGAGAAAAGATCAGATCGTCACTGTATCTGAAGAAAGAATTGCATAAAATCTATTTTGTGTCTGATGCAACTTCCGTTGGGATGCGTCGACTAATGACTAAAAATAAAACCCAAATGTATTTGTGTATTCTTTGAAAGATAATAATCTAAATCCAACTCAATCTAAATCTATCCCATTCTCTTCATATCTATCTATCTATCTATGTTCATATCTATCTATTTTATTCTGTTCATATCTATCTGATTCTGTTCATATGTATGTATGTATCTATGTATGTATGCATGTATGCATCTATCTATCTATTTTTGTTCATATCTATCTATCTATCTATCTATCTATTTTATTCTGTTCATATCTAATTATGTTTATGTTTATATCTATCTATCTATCTATCTATCTATCTATCTATCTATCTATGTTCATATCTATCTTATTCTGTTCATATCTATCTAATTATGTTTATGTCTATCTATCTATCTATCTATCTATGTTCATATCTGTCTATTTTATTCTGTTCATATCTATCTGATTCTGTTCATATGTATGTATGTATGTATGTATGTATGTATGTATGTATCTATCTATCTCTATATATATATATATATATATATATATAGATAGAGAGAGAGAGAGAGAGAGAGAGAGAGGTGGGGAGAAATAGATAGATAAGTTTGATCACATTTATTTTTGTGATGCACTAGACAGGAGTTCTCCTGTTTTTTTAAAGCAACATTTCGTTTATTTACATGTTCATCGTCTGCTGAGACCAGTTGTTTTTAATGCTTTTTTTCCGTATCCAATCGTGTGGTTGTTTTGAATCAGTTGTCCAGTCATGCACTAGCTCTATAGTAGATCGCTATGGCATTGTATTCAGCACTTTTCCAACATCCAACAGTTATAAATATAACCCCTTTACAGAAACACTTAAACTTGGGCCGGGTGTTTGGTGAACAAACCACGTTTTTTTTGTTTGTTTTTTAATATTGTTATATTACTTTAACTTCGATGAATAAAGTGTGGAAGTTCATTTCAAGCGTTGTATTTAAAGTAAGTAACTATGATGTTCATGATAACGAAAAATATATTACCACTTCTAAATCGGAATGATTTAGAAGTGGTAATATATTCTTCAGAATATCCATCTATTAACGAGTCAAATGACATAGTTTAATTTTACACACACACACACATACATACATTGTATTTGTTTTGTCATCAGGTGATATGTATCTATTTGGTTTCTTATAATTAGCTTTAGTTTATAATTACTGTGAAAATGGTTTAATAGATAGCGGCTCGGATTGAGGAATCGGAGAGACGAGTTCGAATTCCACTCGAATCCATTACCTTCACTTACGTGCTAATAACCTTGGGAAAGGTATTAATCCTCTTTTTCTCCCCCAGCTATGGATAAATAGCAGGACAGATCGGGTTCTATAGCCTTGGATAGCAACTGGTCTACGCAAAAAGAAATGGCAAACTACTGCGGGAAAAACTCTGCCTCGTCAGTCATGTATCAAAAGATGCATGATCACCTTAGCGTGTATCACGCATGGTACATAACTGACAATATATATATATATATATATATATATATATATATATATATATATGAGATAACGATATATATTTTTATCTATCAATTAAAATATTGGAGAAAAATATGACGCATTTCGCCCTTTAGGACTTCAACGGACTAAATTTGAGTTGTGGCCTTGTTAGGGTCAGAAATAAAGACACAAGAGAGCAATTGAGTTAAACAAATATTAACAGAAAAACAGTAATACAAACGAGAGTGTTGCAGCAAGAATATTTGGTCCGACCATCAGAGGTGACTTCTGGAAATTACCCTCTTCTAAAAGACAGTATCTGCTCTTATTTATAGTTGAGAGAATTCCATGTGTACATGGGTAAATTACCATAACAATTTGTTACCTTGGTGGAACTACATATGCACCTACCATAATCAGAATGACCACAATTTTGACATAAAAAATCTTACTCTGACCAAAGGAGAAAATATATAGAGAGTGCCTTGATCGTAAGGTCATCCACAGTAAATTTGGGCCTTCGCTCTTACAACATTTCTACATTCCTGGCAGAACTTCTGTTATCACATTGTGGAATATCTACTAACAAAACTGAAGGAAAGAAAAGAAAAAAAAATATAAATGAAATCTGCTAGATTAAAAAAAAAAGAAAATTGAAATTTAAAATTCCCAACATCCCTCATTCGTGCGCATGTGCAGTCGCACCAACATAACAAATTTAGTCCGATTTAGTTTGTGTGTGTGTGTGTGTGTGTGTAAAAGTGGACATTAAGGTCAGCACCAAGTGCTGACAGTCTGTTTGATGCTTGAACACAATCTTCAGACCATGTGTATTGTGTTTTAGCTCGACTATGTATATATGTTGGTCAATTGTGCATTATGTAAAGTAATAAGATCTCTTGTATTCGATCTTAAATATATAAATATATAAAAATGTACATATTCAGACAAATATAAAAACTGTATTATTAGTATAGCACTTCCAATCCACAAAAATCAGAGGCGCCGCTGTATTCTGTCAATAACCATAACCAAGAAGTTCAGCCATGTCAGTTTTCTTCTTATTTATAAATTACAATACATTCTTCGTCATCATCTGAAAGCTCGCCTGCCTGTCTCCCGGTGAGCATGCGCATACACCTCCACACCACCCCGCTTCACATGACAAGAATTAATGTTTTAATATATGCGAATATTTTATAAACACGTCTCTGGAGATTGATCATATACGACGACGCAATAAGTGCCTTTTTTACGCCTTTCTTCTGGACTGTGCTTCTTTTGTAAAGAAAGTAGCGAGATATAAACATAAGCATATGTTTTTTCAAAAGGCAAAAATGTGCTCTTGATACAGTTATATCGACAATATATTTAACATTTTCTAAATTCGGTTTCCATGGAAATAACGAAAACAGATATTCACAAATAAAAATGCATCTACAATTCAGCGCGCCTCACATTATTAGCCATTTTATGGTTTATCGATATCTATAATAAATATTTTTTGAATCTAAAGCTTTATTTGCTGAATGATGGAAACATTTGCACAGTTCGAACGAAAGGTGGTTCATTCTGCGCAGATATATCAACAAATATAATGGTTGGATATGATTTGGAAGAAATGTCCTGAATTATTACGTTTCAGATTAATATCCAAGTTTTCTGTTTGAAAACAGGGTTCTAAGGCTGATTTGACGAATATAGTGAAATATTTAATAATTGAAGAACTTGCAAAAGTTTAAAACAACGCTAAAATTGCCAAGATTGATCTGCAAGATATCAGTGAATACGACAACTCACAACAATTCTTGTATTCATCTGGTATTGGTAATTATAATATTAGCCGTTTCCTTATACGGAAAGATTAGACATTCATTAACCGAATATTTAGCATTACTTTCGATTGAAATTTGTAAAATTTGTCTTTGGACAATTTTTCAAGAAAATAGGTTTCTCATGTCTACAAATTGTTATCATGCTTTCCAGTATTGATGGGGGATTTCCTTCCTAAACATTTGTTCAAAGTAGTGAGGAATGTTAACATCTTGATTATTTCATTATTTTCTCTTCGAGTTACATATGCTATCCATTTTAGTTGTCGTTGCTGTTAAAGACCTAAAGTGATGTGATTTGTGTTATCTGGTACAGTTCTTTGTGACTCTGTAGCACAATTTAATTCTCTTTCTTTATTAACGGCTCTCATATCGTATTTATTTCTATGCTGGGCTTACTAAAGAAACCGTCATAGCTCACAAATTGAATCTAAATTTGAATTCCATTAAAACTGGTAAAATTTAGAAATAAAGCCTGGAAAGAATTAAGTATTTTTTTGGTTTACCTTTTTTTACGAATCGTTATTGTTTTGTGGGTTGGATGTTTCTGTAGACATGCAATACTCATAAAGTATCTTATAAAATTCTTGTAGTTAGGATTTCGTAAGTGGCACTGAGAGCAGGGCTTAGAGTCTCTGTCGGATATTTGAATCATTTGCTGCGCATGCGCTTCTGACATGCATAAGCACAAAGCTCTAGCTGCAATTTTTAAATGCACAGCCACGATTTAAACATGATTTTTTTGTATTTGGTTATATTGGGTGGCGAAAAGACACATTCGGAAGAAGGAAGGTTCGGTGATTTTAACACTGACAGTATATTTCGAATACAAAAGAAGGAAAGTAGTGAGCAACCTACATGAAAGGTTTGTGCAAATGGCTGGAAGAACAAGTATCGTAAGAGCAATGAGGGAGTCATAAAGGAGAATGTATTGGCGCGAAAAATAAAAGTGGATAGAGATAGCCGTCCTTATCCGAAATGGATAGAACACTCTTTCTTTCTCTCTATCTTTCTTTCTCTTTTTCTTTGTTTCATTCACACATACATACACAAAAAGCGAAAGAATATATATATATATATATATATATATATATATGTTGATAATATTAGTGGTCAATATATATATATATATATATATATATATATATATATATATAGAGAGAGAGAGAGAGAGATTAGTGGTTTAATACACACACACACACACACACACATATATATATATATATATATATATAGAGAGAGAGATACATACATACATACATACATACATACATATATATATATATATATATATAAAATTCAAAGAGGATAGAATCCAGGTAGAACTCAATGTCCAGGACAGAGTAAGAATATAAT